AGGATAAATGTCTAAGGGCCCAATATTGAACTGGACAAGGGTGACACAGTGTATGCCTTGTGTTCAATATAGACATGAGGGCAAAAGGGTAATTGTACAACACAAATATTATCACGGAAAAGGTTTGGTCATATCACATGACATTTTCGTGACTTGGGTAACAGTGATGTGTTGCTAGATACCGCTCACTGTTTATTATATTAAATGTGTGATTTAATATAATTGCCAACGTCGCCAAAACCTACAGGGTCACACACATAAGGACAGGTTGATGAGAGATAGAATAAATAAAGAACACCGTAAGGTACGGTGCACTTAAGTGTAATACGGAAAGTGGTAAGGTACCACGTAGATAAGTGATATATGGTACATCATAAGGTATGATGTCCATAAGCTTAATTGGGCTTTTATCTTATAGCCTTAATTGGGCTTTTAGTTTGTAGCCCACACGAGTGATTCTATAAATAGATCCCTTGTGATGAAGCAATTTAACTTGATGCAATTTCGTTTTTGATTCTCTCTCTCACTCATAAGGTTTCCGTTCGTGATCAGCTAGCACTGTGACCGGAAGCGATCTGTTCGTGTGGACTGAGTAGAGGCGTTGTTCTTCATCAACGCTCATGATCACAACATCAAAGCTCTGAATCGCCACAAGAGGTAAATATTTCTATCACTGACCATGCTCATTCGTAAGGATCGCTAAAGGAAAATTTTAAATTCCGCTACGCTTTTGATCGCAATTTTCCTTCAATTTTTACCCGTCAGGTTTCTACCATTCAACAGTTTATTCAATAAATCTGAAAAATAGATCAAATCAAAAAGAGATGTGAGATTTAGTATAACACCAGATGATCAATCAGAAGGGGCAATTAAGTACTACAACACATAGACTAATCTTCATAATTTATGTGTTATTCCAAGACCTTTTATCGGATTTGAGGCAACCTCTGTGTAGATGAAAAAAACAGTGAAAAGACCAAATATACAATTTTATTATGTTAATAGGAATGTAAAAGGGTCGGAGAAGGAGAAACAATGATCATTCTTACCGAATCAGTCGAAGATGGAGAAACGAAGGTCGGCGACGATAGGAGGGACGGGATGCAAAAACGGTAGGGTTAGAGGAAGGTGACACTGTAACAGAAATTTAGAACATGGAAGGTTATAAACAATGGTAGCCATGATGGTGTTTTGGGACGGTTACAGAACGGTAGCCATGATGGGTTATGGATAGCAGTTACAAAATTGGCAATGAATAGGGGTTGTTGGAGAGGCAGGGAATAGAACTGCATCATGGGAGTGTTTAGGAGAATATGAAAATCTGAAATAAAGACCAAAGAAGGTATCCACGTGGAGTGTTTTTGAAACAAAAGGACAAACTTGGCAGAATGGGTAGAATGAATTTTCTTATATTATAGATAACTAGTATCATACCCGTGCATTTGCATGGGTACCGGTCTGACACTCTCATTGAACTAAGCAGAGTTCATTTAGAAAGAAAAAATAATCAAATTTTATGATATTATCTATAATAAAAAATAATTTAAATAAAATAATAATTTAATTTGTAAAATTCTATTTTGCATTGTTAGTTTGTGCAATGAGTATAAATCAATAAAATGGAATAGTTTTAATTAAATAAATAATGTAAAATTTAAATAGTAACAAAAACATATCATTCTTATTTATATCATTTATACCGTTTCACTTGACTATAAAGTGCAAACACATATAATTTTTAATCAAAATATTTTTGTAAGATATATTTAATTTGCAAACTAAATACTTATATATTTAATATGTTAGATACCTTTTCATTAATATTAGTTTCTCAGCAAGTCTCTAGATTTTCTGGTGCAGACGAACTTTTCTCTTTAGTGAGATATATATGCGTTCGCACGGGTACCGGTATGGTGTGCGCATTTGTTTCCAAAATATAATAAAAGTAAAATTAATTTTTTTAAAAGAGATAATAAATCAGTGTCTATAATTCTTTCAATATATAAAAATATTTGAATCGATAACATATATGTTATTTATATATAAATATTATTTTTGTTTTGGAATTATTGTCCAAAATATTTAAACCAATAATAAAGTTGTTCTATTATTATTCAATATTTTGATCAGTAACTTTATGTTTCCGTTAATATTCAATAGTTTGATCAATAACTTCATGTTTTAGTTATAATACAATATTTTGATAAGTAATTTCATGTTTCCGTTAATATTCAATAGTTTGATCAATAAGTCTATGTTCTCGATAATATTCAATATTTTTATAAGTAACTTTATGTTTTCGTTAATATTAAATATTATGATCAGTAACTTCATGTTCACGTTAATATTCAATATTTTGATTACTAACTTCATGTTACCGTTAATATTCAATAGTTTGATAAATAATGTTATGTTTCCGTTAATATTCAATATTTCAATGAGTAAATTCACGTTTCCGTTATTATTCAATATTTTGATCAATAACTTCATGTTCCCGTTAATATTCAATATTTTGATCAATAACGTCATGTTCTCGTTAATATTCAATATTTTAATTAATAAATTCATGTTTATGTTATTATTCAATATTTTTATCAGTAACTTAATGTTCCCGTTAATATTTAATATTTTAATGAGTAATTAAATATTCCATTTATTATTCAATATTTTAATCAGTAATTTCATATTTCTGTTAATATTCAATAGTTTGATCAATAACTTCTTGTTCCCGTTAATATTTAATATATTGAAGTAACTTTATGTTTTCATTAATATTCAATATTTTGATCAGTAGCTTGATGTTCCTGTTAATATTTAATAGTTTGATAATTAAATTCACGTTCCCGTTAATATTCACTATTTTGATTATCAACTTTATGTTCTTGTGAATATTCAATTTTTTATCAGTAACTTCATGTTTCCGTTAACATTAAATATTTTGATCATATTTTTAAAAGAAAGAGATATTTTTAAATTAAAAATAAATTAATTTTACCAAAATTATTTTACTGGTATGATACGCACGATTTTGTTTTCATAATATAATAGAATAATAAATAAAAAATACAAAATTTCCTAATCAAAATAATTTATTATTTTTAGTATATATATATATATATATATATATATATATATATATATATATATATATATATATATATATATATATATATATATATATATATATATATATATATATATATATATATATATATATATATATATATATATATATATAATTGTAAATAAGAAAAATAAAATAATTTTACCAAAATAGTTTATTTTTTTAAAAGAAAGACATTAATAATAAATCATTTAATTATTCATATATTATCTATTGTATTTTAAATTAAAAATAATTTTAAAATAAAATATTAGATACATAAATAATTAAAAAAATAATATATTTTTTTTCGTGTTTCTGTTCATAAATTATTTTAAATATATTTACTTTTATTTTCTGTAATTGTATAAAAAATGTAATAACATGTGCGTTCACACCAATTTTAGTCTGGTTACCCGTGCGTTCGCACGGTATTGGTGTGTAACTCGTGCATTCACACAGATTTTGACCTTACTACCTATGCGCTCACATGTTACTGATGTGTCACCCGTACGTTCACACGTTACTAATATGTTACTCGTACGTCCGCACGAATTCTGGTGTATTACCTGTGAGTTTACAAAAGTACTTGTATATTACACACATTTTTGTTTTCAAAATGTAATAAAAAAACCAAAATTAATTTATTATTTAGCGGTGATATTCTTCTATAGATATGCCAACTATCCTCTCTTTTTGTCTTGGATCTCTCAAATAATAGAGATTGATTATAAAAATAACTAACAATATTGTCCATGACACAATATTATAAGTCAAATTATTTAGAAAGAAGCACAAACAATATGATGCTTTTAAAATATTATTATATAGAAATCAAGATAATATTAATATTATATTTTACCATAATCATAATTAATTAACATATAGGAAGCAGTAAAACTATAATTCCACCATGATTAGTGTCACTTTGAATACTGAACCACTTAGAAAACTATAATCGATTGACTATTTTAAATTAAAAATTATTTAATTTACATAATAATTTTAAATTATAATCGGTTGATCATTTTAAATTAACAATTATTTAATTTACTGAATGATAGTCATGATGGATTATGGATAACAGTTACAAAATTGGCAATGAATATGAGTTGTTGGAGAGACATGGAATGAAACTGCATCGTGGAAGTGTTTAGAAGAATACGAAAATCTGAAATATAGATCAAAGAAAATATCCACGTGGAGTGTTTTTAGAACAAAAAGACAACATTGACAGAATGAGATAAATGGATTTTGTTATATTATAGATAATTGTGACTATTTTTTTATCAATTATAATAACATAATAACGAGAAGAAATAATTTTTTGTATGGAGATATTAGAGTTAGTGAGATTACTTATTACTAATTAAAAAAAAGTTAATTAATTATTATTAATGATTAGTTATTAAGTATATTATATGATTATAAATAAGCGTGATCATTTTTTTTGACAGAGTAAATAAGTATGATAATTTTTTTTTGACGGAGTAGATAAGTATGATAATGATGGTACGATTTTTATGATGAGTTGTAGATATTCTGTAACCGTTTTTACTCTAATAAAAATCTTCTCCCACCATTTACCGTACTTCTTGACTAACCTTTCACGATTTCGTTCAGTTATTTTCATTTTGCTATTAAAAAGGAAAATAAAATATATCTTTTATTACCAAAAATTCGTCTATAAATAGCAGTAGTATCAGTGCAAGCATTGTATAGTTGAAAATAAAGCGAAAACAAGAGGAGAAAGGAAGAAAGCATGAGTCGTGGAAACCAGAAAGAGGTGAATCATTTTCTTCTCATTTCATTTACAAATCGTTTCATTACTGAATGCTTGTTTACGAGATTCTCTTTCTTTCTGTATGCAATTCTGCATTTTCCGACGACTTGTTCGATGCGCCTTCCGGAGACTGTACGATGCATCTTCCAGTCACTGTTCGATGCGCCTTCCGATGACTGTTCGATGCATCTTCCAGTCACTGTTCGATGCGCCTTCGGTGACTGTTGCATTGTCAACATTTGTTTTTGATTTTCTTTCTTTCAGATTTTACATTTTTCTCCGGCGACATGTGCACTCTTCAGTTAAGTTTTTTGCGTCTTGGTTTGTTTTTTGTTTCTTCCTGATTTTACATTTTTCCGTCGACTTGTGCAGTTTCCAGATGAGATTTTATACGTCTTCCCACATATATACTCTGGTAATACAGTTATTAATTGTAGCGATTAATTTTTGCCTAAATGTTTGTAAGTGTCTGATGCAGTTTTTTAGTACAAATTGTGTGATTCTGTTATGAAAACTGTGGATTGGATTTAAGCGTTTTGTTTCCTAAATAATAATTACTATAGATAAATATTAGTTATGGAAAAATTGACGATATTTAGTTGTAAAGATATTATTCTATTATTCACTTTTTTTTTATAAAAAACATACTATTGGTTATCTCAATAAGATTCAAATTATATTCTAAAAGATAATACTAGTCAATATCCTAGTCAATCTATAAATCTAAATATATTTCTAACCTAAATTATAGTATTCTAAAGTCATATGAACTTCTAACATAAATTATATTCACCCCCAAACTTTACTCCATGAAAACCAACCACCTTTTTTATTTCTAATGGTAATGGTAGTAGATCATCATGTGGGGCAGCGTTTGAAAAGTCAGTCATAGTTTTGTAATATAATAACATCTAAATTTTCAAATATATTAAAATAAATGCATTATGATATTTGTTTTTCAACTTTGTTTTTCTTATGTGGCAGTGGCAGCGTTTAAAAAGTCAGTCATAGTTTTGTAACATCTAAATTTTTAAATATATTAAAATAAATGCATTACGATATTTGTTTTTCAACTTTGTTTTTCTTACTTCTTACTTTAGGATTAAAATTGTGATTAGTAAGAAGTAAGAAAAGCAAAGGTTGAAAAGCAAATAAAATTGGAAAATGCTTCTCAAAATCTACATGAATGTTTTACCTTTATCAATGTCCTAAATGGTAATGCATTTAAGATTTTTAATATATTTGAAAATTTAGGTGTTATTATATTACAAAATTATGACTGACTTTTCAAACGCTGCCACCGCCACATGATCTACTACAATTAGAAATCAAAAAAGTAGTTGGTTTTCATGGAGTAAAGTTTGAGGGTAGGAGTTTGTTTAATAGTGAGTTGGTTAATTTTGTAGGTTGATATATTGATCAGTATATCTGTCTAAATTGCAGATATTCCATACTCGTTGAAAGTTAAGAAGACTTTGTTCCGGAATGTTTTATGTTTTGGAATACATTTTGAATCTTATTGAGCTATAGTTGTTATAGTTGTGCATAGTTTGCATATATTGCGGTTAATTCATAATGCAACCGTTGTAATTAATATCACCAAACGAAATCGCCAAAGCCTTTGCGAGACTCAATGTGATTGCAAAAATATTTTATATTTTTCATTTAAAATATAATTTAGTACTTTTTCTAGTAAAAATATTGTATTGAAAATTAGACGCTCTTTTAATATTGTAAATATAATTACACAAATTTCCATGATAACAAATAATTTAATTGAAATATGTTAACCTAATTAATTTATTTGCTCTTGTGAATTTTTAATTTAAGCTCGGTTTTGATCTTTTGAATTAAGATGTCAATTTGCTTATTACTTTATTTGTTTATACACAATGCTTTGTAGCACACACGCTCACACACAAATGACTGTGTAATTGTAAATGTTTAGTATCATAATTCTGCTTTATCTTGCAGTGTCACTATACCTTAGAGTTTGACCGTGCATCCAGTGGAAATCCTGGAAAATCTGGTGAAACTGGGAATGAGGTGTATACTTTATGTATCAATACATATTTGTAACTATATACTATAAACTATGTATCAAATATAGCTAACTCTTGGGTTTCTTTAAAGGTCCATCGCTTCAGTCAAAGACAGGGTACTAGACAAGTAATTCTACTGAGTATCAAGGTTTGATTTTGGGATTGAAAGAAGCAAGTAACAAAGGGTATGATCATGTTGAAATCTGAGGCGATTCCAAGCTTGTCTGCGAGCAGGTTAGTTTAGTTCTCTACCGTATATGCATTTTCCAATTGTTCACGAAATATCTTCCTTTTTATAAGGAATTTAGCATAATATTTTATTGCTTTTGCAATAATTTGCAGGTAATTGAAAAGTCAATAACCTGAATTTAAGGGACTTGCGTAATGAGGCTTTGGACTTGAAGGATAACTTCAAGTCAGGCAGTGTTCAACATGTTCCTAAGGTTAGACTCGAGGGTATAATGACTCTATTTTGTCTATTGACAAAATAATGTTTCTCAAATTGCCATCTTTTTTAATTGGGTTTTGATCTATGGCACCACTGTCATTAGTCCTGTATATTTTCCCTTATTTTATGGTAATTTTAACAAATACCTTTCCTCTTTTTTTTTTAATGTTTTAAGGGTTCTAACAGAGAAGCTGATGCTCAAGCAAGTTGGGGCAAAAATCTTGAAGGTTAGACTTCAAATCTTTTCTGAGTTCTTAATTATTTTGGTTTCTTATCTTTTGGCTTTTTAAGAAAAATGAATTACCAATAAATTGAAAAAATGAAAACTAATGAATAGAATCATTTACTTTCACAATTGTATTTGGAAGGACCATAAATTTTAATGGATCTTATATTTTTGCAGTTGGCCAAGTTCAAGAAGACTATTATTACTATTGATCATTTGTGACAGCATGCCACTGTCAAAAACTATTGCAACTATGTTACTTTTTTGTTTGTTTAGATTGTGCCTACTAGTTAAGCATTTAGAGTGGTCTTACATTTGACACACTGCATTCTGTTTGCAATTTGAACATTTGCTTTAGGGACTTAAATGCTGCGGGTTTAAATGATGCTTTTGATGTTTATGTTTGAATGTTATGTGAATGATACCAAACTTACAATTTTCTGCCTTCATTTGTTTGTTTAGATTTTATAATCTCTTGTGCTATTTGATGACACTTATTATTGTTTGATGTAATGAGACCCTAAAAGTAATATTTACAAATTTATTTTTTACTGTTCAAACATATTCATCCCACTTTGAATCTTTGGTTAAGAGGTTTGTTTGTACTTTTTTGAACATTCTCTTTACACAAGATGGGATATTAAAACACTTTGCTTGGTTTATCTAGAAAATTCATATTTATCAAGCACTTGATTAAAAAAAACCTATAACTCTTTCAAATTTCGAAATCTTTAGAAGATTGTGGTGTTGTATGTGCTGTATTAAAAACAAGAGGTGGTAAAGTGTTTTTCAATGCACTTGGACACATGTGGTAAAAGTAAAGAGGGATAAAGTGTTGTTATTCAATGCATCAAACACACCCAGTAAAAACAAGAGAAATAAAGTGTTATTCAATGCATTCAAAATATAGGCATAAGCATGATGATCCTGGTGTTTGTTTCTCAAAAACCCAAACATAAAACGCTTAATAATAATAATAATAATAATAATAATAATAATAATAATAATGTGAACCATGTTTCACGAGCCTTAAATACGTGTGGAGTATTTTAGATATGAGGCGTTTAACTCACCATCCAAAGTATCTCATGTCATAATCTTTATGTGGTTCAAATCACCAAATTCTTTCAAAAAGATTAAAAAACATTTAACTTCATTCAAACTTTTTTGTGTGTTCGAGCACCTTTTCCCTTTAATATCGTTTTTCTATATTAGATATGATTCACTTATAATTGAGATGTTATTCCTCAATTCTCATGGTTGTCGATTTTTCCACTTGAGCACTAGAAGCGTTCTCAAACTCTCGTTCATGTTGGTGTCTAGTCTTTCTTTCTTATACCTTGTGAGCGATTAGACGAGTTTTCTCCTTAAAAATAATGTCTTGTCTCTTCTTCTAAAATCAATCAGCACATCAAATTTTGTTCTTTTCAAGATGAATTACGAGTGTCATGATCCCTTATTACACGAATTCTTTTCAAGATGAATTATGAGTGTCATGATCCCTTATTACACGAAGGGGTACGTAGACACAAAGGTTCGCAACTGTGATTGACACAATAATAAAAAAACATTTATTTTGTTTGTAAATACTCTTTCATTCATTTTCCTTTACAAGTTCGAGTTTTAGCACACTCTCTGATTAAAACAAACAAAGTAGATTCTGTGGAGTACCGTAAATACTTAGGATGCTAAAATATTCCCTTTGCATAAATGACTTTTGTATCTTATTCTCTGATCTTTTATTTTATTTTGGATTTTATTCACTCTTTTTCCATTGCCCCTTTGGAAACAATAAAGTGGATTGATGACTTTCATTAATATGAGTTAAGTCAATCAATAGTTTAATCTCAAATTTTTACGACTACATTTAGCTAAAGTGCGACAAACTAACTCAAAGTTTTAACTTTATACAATCTCCTTGGCGTTACTGCATTTGTGGTACATATACCGAGTTTGTTTTGTACATCACTTCTCAAACTTATCTCAATACAAACACACTATAGGCTATTCTCTATCACGTGTTGGAATAAATATGGTCATTGTTTTGTCCTTTCTGCTTTGTTGCTACTCTGTCTGCTACATACTATATTATACAAAACTTATAATATAATAGTTTTGTATCTGTGTAAAATACAATTGTTAACCATTATAACCTCTCATATGTCAATATATTATACTTTATCACTATTTAGAATTTTGTGCAAACTTTTTTTTGTGTTGCCCTCTACTTTTACCTAAAATCCACATTTTTTTGGACGACACTTTTGTTGTACAATATTATAATATTATTATTGTTTTCAAGACCAACACTTCACACTATTTCATATGATTAATGTTTCACCTTCTCAAAATATTCACTTTATATTGGTGAAACATTAAAAATTTAGGTTCAAGATAAACCTACAACTTTTCAAGAATCCAAATGCAATTTATATGATGAGGTTAGACTTCTTTTAATTAATTATTTCGCACCATGTTGGTTTGATCCAATATTATAGGTATATATACCATATTTACTTATTCTCTTTACAATTTAACAATAACACAATAGCTAACACATTTGCTAATTATTGTTGCACCCCAAATCTACCATTTTATCTTTTGATCTAATTAACTTATATTTCTCTAAACATATATATTTATGCATTGAGATGAGATTAAGGTGTTCTTATCTTCTTGGTTCTCTTAAAGTCCTAGAAGAGAAACTTTTGACAATCAATGAAAGGAGGCTCAAATATCCTCATTCTATTGAAGATTTGTTTTTAAAATGTGAGATTCTGAATGGTTCTAATTCTCATATAGTCGCAGACCAATGAGGATATTTTAGGAACATTGATTCTATAATATAATTTATTTTGTTTCATAAAAATCATCTTGAGTACTTTTTAGGAAATTTTATATTTTTGTTCCTATTTTTGTGGAGAAGATTTACAGCTTGAATATTGGATTTGCATGGAGTCCAAGCTCATGCTTTCAAGAGTCTTTTTATAAGAAATTTCTAAACCGAAAACACTTGGAGAAGTTGTGTGCATGAGATAAGGGTTTAGGGTTTTAGTTTGTTCTTTGTTCATTGTGATCCACTTCTTATCACTTTGATATTAGAGTTGAACTGGGTTTTAGTTGTTATTTGTCAATCACTCATAAGCTTTTAAGCAAGAGTGGATTGTAGGTCAAGTTACCTTTGTTCTTTAGCCAAAAGCTTTTAAACAGAGTTGATTGTTTTTCTTTGAAGAAGTGTTCTTCTACTTTAGTTATCATTGTTAGTTTGTCACTGGTTTGTGATTAAAGGGAAGTGAGGGGGATCTCATATCTAGGAGGGTCTTAGATAGAAATAGCATGAGTAGTGATTAGGTTAGAAGTTTGTAAAACAAGGGTTGTTCAAAACTTCAAACTAATACTATTTTAGTGTATTTCCTTCCCGACTTGGATGCCTCCAGAGTAGATGACGTTGCACCGAACTGATTTAACAATTGATTTATGTTCTTTACTTTCTGCAACTTATTTTACTTGTATAATTGTTTTAGTTGTTGTGATTGATCTGATAGCAATGTTGTGACATCTGATTCAATATCTGGTATCTGTGTGCCAAAATTTCAGTTAGATTCTCGATAAGCTACAATAATGTTACCAAAGTGAGAGGTCAACATACGCATTACCTTCTTAACTATCATCTTATCCGTTAGGATTTCACCATAACCCTTCATGAGATGGACAAGATTAAGCATCTTCGACATAGCCTGTAATCTTTTCATCTTCTCCCATCTACAGTAATTCATACTTTCATCACAAAGTTTGCAATTTGACGACTTTTATTTTCTCAACTCCTTCATAGTACGTGACAAGAATATCTCTTTCCTCCTTTGCCGATTAATCATGAGATATCTTGTCAAAATTTGTTGAATCTACCGCCAATTTAATGCAATACACAACCTTGAAATATTTCTTCTTCGCCTCTTTGTGTAGATTTTTCTGCACGTCGGTTGCATCCTGGGCAAGCTCATGAATGTTGTTCTCGACTACTTTTAGGGTTTCATGAAAAACAAATAAGAACTTCATCTGCTTGCTCCATCGGTTCTAATTTTTGCTGTCAAGAATTGGAAGAGAATTCAGAATGCCATTAGTATCATTCATCTTTGCAATAGTTGATTAACAACCCACGATCTCGGAAAGACAATCACTAACATGTGATTTTTTAAAACACAATTTGTTAGTACGTGATGCACTTTTATTGAGAGAGAGAGAGAGAGAGAGAGAGAGAGAGAGAGAGAGAGAGAGAGAGAGAGAGAGAGAGAGAGAGAGAGAGAGAGAGAGAATAAAGAAATAAGGATTGATATTATTGAATTATAAAACTGATTTACAACATGTTTATTTATATGTAACTAACTTGTATACTAAGTAACAAACTCTAAACCCTAATTAACTTGGGCTTTAGCTACACAACTTAGATTATACTCTCAACATTTTCTTCCTCAAGAAGAAATCATGAGAAAAGTAAACTATTGATTCAAATACAATTAGTATTGTATTTTTTTCAAATAAATATGTTGATACTATTATACAGGAAAAATATACGAAAAAAATGTATGATTGATTCAAATACAATAAATATATAGTTTGATTCAATAATTTATGTATCATATATATTTGACAAATATTTTATCATAAATACAATTTGTATTGTATATATTTGATAAATATTTTATTACAAATGCACTTTATGACACGGAAAAATGAAATTATTAACTCAAATATTGGAAATGAAAATTTATTTCCCTTTTTTAAAATATGTTAATAAATATATTAAATAAGTTTGTTTAGGTTATTATCCATGCTCTCGAAACCGGTGATACCGGGTGAGGGGTTGTAGGATTCAGGCAAGTGGCATAATGCTTGAGACTACCACACTTGTCAATGTGACACTTTATTCTCTTTTGTAGAGTTAATGTTTTTAAGTCATTTATAAAGACATTCAAAGTGAGTGAATCTTCCTATGTGGGACTATTTCTCATACATTTACAAGTATTTATTCACTTTCATTATCTTGTCATTTTGGAATACTCATTTGTAATTAATTTTCAATAAATTACAACAACTCATAATAATAGTTCTTTTACACAAAGATGAAGAAAAAAAATGAAGTTATATCGAATGGCTTGAAGATCCCATGTAGATGAGCTCCACTTTAATGAGAACATACTTCTTCTCACTCTGC